ATTTTTTAACGAAAAAAAAAATTGAAAAAATAAAGAATTTTAATTTTATTCTTATACGGGGTGATTTTAATAAATCTATAGAAATTTTAAGAAGTTAAAATAATTCAATAAAACACCCGGTACAAATAAGAGCAGTTTTATATTTTTAATCTTGCTTGGCATATTATTCAAAAATTTTGTGAAATTTTATCAAAATTCATGGTGTTTAAAAAAAAACAATTGCCAATTGTGGAAAAATCTTTATTTTATTTTTATAAAAAATGTAATTTAATGAAAGCTCCCCCATGCAACCCCTTTTTTGCGTATGGCACACCCCCTCCGCCACTGCAGTGACCGTGAAAGTCCCGCCTTATCCTCGCCATGCATTACAAGCTAACTAGATTTTAATCGCTGATAAATAATGGATGCGCCTGGTAATAAGAGAATTGCAAATATGGTGCATCAAGCTTTTCAAAACCAAAAAAAAAAAAAAAAATTCAGGAATCTGAAATCGCATCTGAAAGCGCGTTTTCTTTTCTTACAGTAAAAGCGAAGTGATCCGCTTTAAGTGGCGACACCGACTACCGAGCTTCCGCTTTTTTGACAGCTTTGTTATCGATCGCGAAGCGAGTGCGCAACTAACCTAAAAATTATTTTTTTCTTATTCACTCACCTGAGCGACTTTTTCGCCCATTTTCGGTGTGTGAATCCCGCTTTGGAAGTATTTCGCCGATCCATTGTCTTGAAACGAAAACTGAAAAATAATTATATAAAAGCGCCATCTAATGGCAATCATCAACAACTAGTTACAGTTTTCTACAATATCGATCGATAATCTTTAAGGCTGAACTCACCTGAGGACAGACTTTTTGTTTGGATGAATCGGTTGGGTTGCTTAGACTTGGACTTTTGCGATCGTGTGATTGTGGCGCCGTTCTGAAGCGTTGTAAATCGCTCTCGGAGGAAACGTTGGGAAATTGCTTGCTTAATTGGGGTTTACAAACACTAACAGTGGGGTAACCGCTCCTAAAACACTGCCTTCTAGCTATAGCATCTAAACTTGTCGCATGCGAGACTCTAATTGGTGTTTGGTGCCTAGAAAAAAATCAAAACTAGTCTAATTCGTGTCAAAATGTCAAATTTACCGATTTGTGATTGGTGGTCTACTTCTTTCCACACTTTCTCCCCGTTCGAATGACGCTTGATGACTCGTTGGAGCACTATGTGATATCGCCAAAGCTGTGTATTCTTTGGTCTGAGGCGGCACTGGAATCGTTGTGTGTGTCGTCGCCGTCGGCACTTCGGTTTTTGACACCCACGTCTGTTCCAAAATGGGAGTCGGAGAATTCGATGTCAGAGGACTAAAAAATCAAATTCTCTTTCGATTGAGACCTCTCCGGCGAAAATCACACGAGTGGTGTGGCCACAAAACGCGAAAATGTAAAACTGGACACACCCTGTATACTCAAAAATTTGGAAAATTTGATGTTGAAAGAAAAGTAAATTCTCTATCGATTGAAACCTCCCCGATGAAAATACCACAACTGGTGTGGCCACAAAACGCAAAACACTAAAATTGCACACACCCTGTATACTCCAAAATTATCCCGTCATAATTTTTTTTTGGCCAAAAAAATTATTATTATTATTTTAATTTTCGACTTTTCTTATGGAACTCATATCACAAACTTAAAAAAAAACTTCAGTTTGTTTTTAATTATGAAACACGTTGTATATATTTTTTAAATAAATTAATTAGGTTTTTATAAAACTATTTAACAAAAACAGAGTTAAAATAAAACTTTTCTTTCGATTAAGACATTTCCGACAAAAATACCACAATCAGTGTGGCCACAAAACACAAGACACTAAAATCGTACACACACTGTATATACCAAAAAAATAAATTTTAACCTAAACTAGTCGCAAAAATCGATTTCAGCAGGTTTACCAACTAGAAAAAAGTAAATTTCAAAAACAAATTAATTAACTTTTGAGGAAATAAATTAATTAAGCTTTTATAAAACTATTTAACATAAAAAAAGCTGAAATAAAATTTCTCTTTCGGTTAAGACATCTCGGAATTGTAAAAATCATACTTTAGCAAGTTTACCAACTAGAAAAAAATAAATTTCAAAAAGGCATTAATTAAATTTTTGATCAAATAGCCTGTGACTGAGTAATATAAAGTCAGAGGTTATAAAAATTGGCATGTCTCAATATTCGACATTGCCAACTTAATTTCAAAGACTCAGACCACTCTGTTTTAATGTAGATTAATTGATTAATTAATTACGAAACACACTGTATTATATTTTTTTAATAAATTGACCGAAATGAAAATTCTCTTTCGATTAAAGTATGTCCAAGAAAAAAATTCCAATCAGTGTGGCCACAAAACGCACAACCTTAAAATTTAACACACCCGGTATGCTCCCAATTGTCCCTAAATCGGAATTTCATTGACGTAAAATGAAATTACGGCTCGTAAAAGCAATAAAAATCACATTTCAACAGGTTTACCAACTGGAAAAAAATGAAATTTTAAGAATGCATTCTGATTAAATCTCGAACACTGCAATACAAATAATTTGCATGTTACTGGTGAAAAATCACCGTAATTACAGTTGAAATCTGATTTTACATGCAACGTAATAATAGTAAAATGTCAACCCAATAAAAATTTGATACGTTGATTACACTTGTAATTGATAGCTCGGCTTCGCCTCGGGCCTTACCATTGCTCCAAAGTATCCGCCTCCTCTTCGGCGGCGGTGACGTCACTCGGGGGCGTCAAATACCCCGCTAATCTAAGGCCTCTTCCTCGCAAATTCGACCCCAACCTGAGACTCTGCCTAAACGAAGCTCTGGCTCTGTCAACTATTTTTGGTATTAAAAATTTTCAAAAAAAAAATTTTTTTGGGGACTCACATTTACTAAGTCGGGGTTTCCCCACGGGACTACTCTCCAGAGACGCCGTCGGAACCGCCGTTAAATCTTCAAAATTGATAATAATCAAACTTATGTCATCCACTTCGCTTCGTATGGGGGCTATCACTTCGGAACATAGGAACTTTGAGCCTGAAAATCGAATTCAATCAAAATTATCGTAAATATTTAACCACGCCGGAAAATTAATTAAGAGTCACGCACACTAAAAATTATCTTGAAATTTCGTCGAGATTTTTTTATGTTTGTAAACTTAGAATTAAGTGCAGTAAGTGAGTGTTATTGCACCAATTAACATGTCATACGATAAGATAAATGCTGTAATAGTTGTTTACACCCACGTGTTGTAATTGGCATTTTACACACGACGCGTAGCCGAATGCGTTAATATACAGGGTGTCCCAGCGAGTTGAAAAAGTCCATTAGTGACCTTTAAATGGTAAAATTTTAACGTTTTTAATGTTTAACGTTAAATATAATTTTAGTTATTGATTATAAATACCTAAAAGTAAATAATCTTAGAAAGACAATTTAATAATCTTTTAAAAGCAAAAACAATAACTAGGGTGTTCCATTAAATTTTTTTAAACTTTTAACAAACCCTTCATTTTTTTATCTTTGCAAATGCGGTAGCAAAAAAAAATATTTCTAGATGTCTTAGTTTTTGTGTAATAAATTTTTAAAAAGTGCATGTTTTCGTCAAAAAAACCGTCTTATTTTTGAAACTAAGCAAAATCGACCAATAAAAGTTTAGATAAAGACAAAGACGCTAAGAAACATATAGTGTTTCATTTTCAAAAACACAAGTTTGTTTTGTAACTTATTTTAGAGACTCGCTGTATAGTTGAAAATCATTTTTGGCGATGGAATAGATTAATATCTATCAATGTG